TGTTCGGCTGATTCTTTTTCAAGTACCTTCGCTTTTTGGGCCTCTGCTTCTGCTTCCTTAACTTCAGGTTTCTTACTTTCGGGGATCTTTTCTTCAGCTAGTTTCTCAGCAACTACTTCAGATACTTCTCCTTGTTGGGCTTTCTTTTCAGCTTCCTCTTCAGTCAATTTCTTCTGCTTCGCATCCAGTTTTTGCCCTTCGATTGATTCTTTTTCAAGGAGATTTTCAGCAATTATATCTGCATTGAGCTGTTGCAACTTTTCGCTAAAATCTAAAATTTCTTTGGTAATTTTATAAATTTTTGCTTCAATAGTTGCAGTTTGGAGCTTCCCCTCGTTTTTCTCGATATAATCATATTCTGATAGAAGAACAGACTTCAGATGTTCAATAATAGGTTTTAATATAGCTGTTTTATCGTCTAGCAAATCATCGACCAATACGAAAATATCCATTAGGGCTTGTTGTAATTGGATCATCTTTTGAGAAGACTTTTCAATTTGTAGATTAGACTTGATGTCTTCTGAAATGGCTTCAAGCTTGACAAGTTTTGGTGCTATTAAGGAGGATTTTACACCCAATTCAGATCCGCCAATAAGCTGAAGCGCAGCTTTGCTTAGTATTATGTTTGTCTTAATTTCTTTTACGTAACTTTCGATAATTTTCTCTGAAGCAAGTGGAGACGCATCAAGCAGTGATTCGATAAATGCTTCTGCAATGTCTTTGTCGGTTTGTTCGTCAGGAGATTTGCCTTCATAAGTATGTACAATGTGCTCTCGAAGCTTAAAGATTCCCTTGACGACTTTATCAGGGCTTTCCAAGTTATCCATAATTTCTTTGCTGTCGGCTATAATTGATATTTCTTCAGGCTTATTCGACAAACGTTGTACAGCACTGCACAAGTCTAAGAATTTTATATCTAAAGTCTTTCTTAATTCTTGTTCCTTCTCAAGAGAAGTTTTAGTCTTGAGTTTCTCTTGGATTTCCGGTACTTCAGCGACCTTTGCATCAACTTCATCTTTGGGTTTTTTGGTTGAAATTTCTTTTGAATCTTCCTCCAGTTTTCGTTTGGCCTTCACTTCGGATTTCTCTTGAGCAACCTTTGCCTGCTCCAATTGCTCTTCTATTTCCGGGCCCTCTACCTGAGTGGGTGTTTCTTCGCTTTGTACATCGAGTGTGGCACTTAAATGAATTAGTTTTTCGTGCAGATTGTTTATTTGCTGCTGCAGAGTCTCGATGAGCAAAAGTTGCTCTGATGTGATTTGCGTTAGCTGCGGCTGCGATAGAATATCATTTTCGATTTGAATTAGCGTGGCTTCCAGTTGACCGATCTCGTCTGTGTGTTCTTCAAGAAGCTTGGCACTCAGTGGATCATCGTTTTGCAAGCCCCGCTCGATTTCCGTAAGGAACGTCTTGCCCGCTGTCACGTTCTCAATTATTGCACTGATGTCAATTGGCACTGTGGGTGCGACAGGGAGTTGAGTCAAACTCTTGAGCTCCGCAGATATGGCATCAATCTCTTGCAGCAGTTCGATGATGCGTATTGCATTCTCATTATTCTCAATGAAATCAAACACGCCCACCAGACTGTTTTGGGTCTTCAGTAGGGCGCTCAGTAAATCATTCTCAGCCTTTTCGCTGACTTCGTTGAGAGCTCTGAATGTGGACATTAGGTTTGTCTGAAGATTGATCATTAAAGTCGATGACTTATCTATATCAACGTTTGGCGAAATGGCCACGGCTCTGATCGATTCCAACAGCTGTTCAAAGCTGCGCTGCACATTGCCCAGCGACTGTTGCTGAGAGTAGGTCATAAAGTTCTTGAAAGTATTCTCGATTTCGGAGTACATCTCTTGAGCAAGCTGCGTCTCCAGCACCGGCAGAGACAGTAGAATGTCTTCGAAAGCGCTTTCCACATTGTCTAGGGAATCGACCAGACCCGATTCGTAGGTGTGCACCAAGCACTCCTTCAACTTGAACATGGTGCGTGCGATTTTCGCCTGAGCCAGGACAGTTTCCTGTTGATTGCTGTCTGAGACGAGCGCCTGCTGAATATTCTTCAAATCGGCGTTCAGCTGTTGCATTATTTCGCTCACTTGACGGAGCTCCTCGTGATCTTCGCTCTTGGTTACCTCCAAGCAAGCCTCCAGCTGCTTGATGCCGCTTTCCACGCCCTGTTGCACATCGAGGACCTCGACTTTTGGCTCTGCAGCGACGACTGCTGCCTCCTTGGCGGCATCCTCAACTGTGTGCTGCTGCCCGCTGGTCTTAAGCTCCGATATGTTCTGGGAGGACATATCGAGTGCCTGTTCCACTGCCTGAATATCAATTTGCTCGCAGTATTGCCGTAGATCGTGAAGTGGTGTGGCCAATGTCTTGAGCTTAGATAGCTCCAGATCCTTTAGACTTTCCGCTCCACTGTGTGCTATGCATTCCTCCACCTCGAGCACACAGCGCTCCAGGCTGCACATGGCCGCGGCAAAAGTGCCAGGATCGGTGCCTTCGGAGAAGGACTGGGCAGCCTCGACAATGTTGGCTTCTTGCACTAGCGCAATGTTGCTCTGCAGATCCTGCATTTTAATGATGGCCGCTTGCAGTTGTTCACCTGTTTCTCCGCGCAAGGAGCTTACGTCCAGATCCTCACAATGCGAGAGGACAGCTGCAATGCCATGATTCAGATCTGAGAGCAACATCTCAGCTGGCTTCTTCAGAGCTTCCTGGCCCGGTTTCAGCTCTTCGGCATATGCCTCTGGCTCGGTGGGCAACGACTCAGCTAATGATTTGAGCACAGAAACATCATCCAATGTGGATACGTCCTCATTGGACTGTTTCAGTGGGTGAAGACTCTCGAGTGCATGCACGAAGCTGGAGAGTGGACTGGATATGGCAAGTGCATTCCATGCAAGTGTCTCATCCAAAGCTTCTCTCTGCTGGGCAACAATGTCGTTGAAATTATTCAAGACCTCATTGAATTCATTGTCATCGGCAGCTGGATTATCAAGTGTCTTGGCGAGATCAGCAAAACTCTTGCCCATCTCATATAAAATGCGAATTGTTTGCGTTTCGTTCGAGTTGAGTGTGTTCTCTGCCTCACTGAAGGTGGCCAATCCCTTGGCGATTTGTAGAATTCTCAAGAGCGAAACTTGAGCCTCATTCGCCGATGATTTGATCTTGGGCGTTGTTTTGTCATTCTCATTAATTCTGTTTAGTGCCAGCTGCAGTGTTTCAATGTTGGCAATCGACTCGTCTAGTGAGACCTTTGTCTCAAGGACTTTACGCAAGGCGCTGAACGACTTGTCCTGCTGGGCAGCCAGCTGCTCGTCCTGTTGGATCTCCTGCTGCAGAATCTTGAACTCGTGCTCCTCGATATCAATAATAGCATTGCGTATTATATTGCGTATGTTTTCTAGAGACTGAAGCGCCTGCTTATCCGGCTCGCCTTCCCTTGTGGCCAGCAGCAATCCCTGTCCCTTCTGCGTGTTCTCCTGCAGTAGGCTGAGTGGTTCGATCAGATCGGCCAAAGACCCAGAGGTGGATTTCACCTCAGTCTGGCGTATGCAATAGTTCAGCTCGTCGATGGGACGCTTCAGCTTATCGAGCAGCTGCACATGATACCGAGTTATATCCTTGTCCAAAATGGTGCCAATCAGGGCGGACAGCTCATCCTTCAGGTTTTGTAAGCGAATCTTCACATTATCGCTGAGACGCTCCGATATTCTTTCAATGTTCGTCTCGAAATGCAGAACGGCTTGCGCAATGGACTGCAATAGCTTCTGGGTGTCTGCCAAATCCAATTTGGCACCCTCTCTGGCTGCCTGGCCACTTTCCAGATCCTGGCCCAACTGGGCCAATCCATTCTGAATCTCCTGGAGTGGCGGCACCATGGACTCCACTGTGCTCACCGTAAACATGCCAGCCTCGACGCTATCTGATTTCTCATTGACTATCAGCTCCAATCCCTTATTGAGCTCAAACAGCGGCGGCGTTACAATATCCAAAATGGCCATGTTAATCTTTTGCTCGATGGATTCAGAGCCAGCGAGAGACTCTGTCTTCTCCCCTATTGACTGCAGTGTGCTCTGCAGATCCTTAATGGGCTGCACAATGCTGTCGAGCACCTTTTTGTGCACCTTTTTGTAGATTTGCTCCTCACTCTCCTCCAAGGACAGCTCCATTTCGACGCGCTCCAGAGCCTCCTGTATTCTTGCTACTGGCTGACAGATTTCCTTCAAGGCACTCGCTTCACTAGGCAAATTGGCTTCCGTAATGGAGGCAAACGAAATGCTGTCGGGCACATCCTGCATCTTCTCCACGGCCTCTGTAAAGTGCTTGGCTGCTTCCAATTCTTGGGCCTCCTGCAGCAGAGCCTGTGATCTAATGGTGCCCTGGGTTATTTCCAGACCCTGGTGTATATCATCTGCCGTCAAGTTGATTTGATTTCGCAAGCTCTCCGATTCGAATTTCGAGCTGACAATCTTCAACTCCTCGAGCGCCCGCTTCATATGCTCCGCCACGCTGTCAATAATGCAAACGCTCGTCCTTTGGATGAGCGTGGCGCCCGTCTCGTCTATCTCCACGCACTTCTCGATCACCTGCAGTCCCATGTGCAGCCTGCGTATGTCGTCCTCCATGGTCTGGATGAGTGCATCGATCTGGGTCTCGCCCGAGTAGACGCGCAGCTTCGATTCGATCTGTTTGATGGGCTCCAGAATATCCCGGATGATGGCAATGCTTTGATCAGCAGCTGCTGGTGTCATCATCATGGTGGACTGGTCCAGTACCTCTGCCTCGACCACAGTCAAATGATTCTCAATGACTCTCAGCAATTTGGCCAGGGGCACCAATGCCATGAGATTCTTGCTGATCTCCGCCTCATCAGTTACGGCTTTCATCTGCGATGCTGGCTGCATCATTAATCCATCGCCCACAGCGCCCGAAATGTCCTGGAGCTTGGCGTCGTCCTCAGTGGTCTTCGAGGAATCGCTATCCGTGGGCTTCTTGGACTTCTTACGCTTTGGTGGGGCGGCAGCGGCTGCTTCGCCTTCGCTGGCCAGAGCTGCCTTCTGTGATGTGGACATCTGAGCACTGGCAAACGTTTGCAGATCAGATGTCTCCTCCTCACCCTGGCTGCCTGATCCGGATGCCTTGGACAAACTAAAGAACTCATCCGTTTCCGTGGGTCGGGATTTCTTGCGCTTTCGTATAGGTGCTGATAAGGATAGCTCCTCCTCCATTTTCTCAAACGATTGTTGTGCATATTTCTCTGTTTGCTTATCGAAGACTCCCTCCCTGCCCGAGGAGCCGTGCACGGTGATCTCAGTGATGGATATGTCATCCATGCCCGCCTCAGTGCGCAAATCCTCATCATGGGTGAAGTACTCGGGTGCTATATCTATGACGACTGCCTCCATGAGTAGCTTGCCGGACTGTGAAGTCTCCTTGACGAAACGCAGTGGCGGCAGCTCCACAATATTGTGCTCCGTCACATGCTCCGATATCTGATCGGCATACATCTCAACAATCTTCAGAGCCTCCTCTTCGGTTAGGTCAGGTGTTTCGTACAGGGACACTGACACTTCTTTGCCGTCAAAGGAGAAGGATACATCGCCCTTCTCGTCTATGGTTATATCGCCCACTGGCGTCTCATAGAGCTGCGATGTGTGCTCCTCTTGAATGGTGGACAGCGATAGGTTCCTTTGTAGTTCATTCATCTCAGACTGCTCTGGTTTCTGTGCTCGCTGCGCATCCTCGAAGCCCAGCAGCGAAGCGGAGCTGGCCACAACGCCCATGCAGTTGCGGGCCTCGCAGGTGTAGGTGCCCAAGCAGCAGGTGCCATCCTGGCCAGAAATAATCCGGTGTATGTCGCCCGGCTTTAGCTCCACGCCATCCTTGTACCACTTGAGCACCGGCTGTGGCACACCAATGACCTTGCACTCCAGATTGACGGCCCCCTCCTCGGTGAGCACTGCGCGCAGACACTCGAGGAATCGGGGCTTCTTGTAGTGCCTCGGTATCTGCAGCTTGAGGAAGCACGAGGTAATGCTGGTGCCAAAGTCATTGACGGCCACACACTTCCACTCGGCCTGGTCGACAAACTCGGCCGACTTGATGTCCAGCAGCCACTCCTCATTCTCGCCCCGATAGTGATTGTATCGCTCGTTCGGATCGATGGGCAGCTCGTCCCGGAACCAGCTGAGAATTGGATCTGGTGTGGCCCTGACCACAACTTTAAATTGAAATGGTTCGTTGATTTTGGCATCGGTGCTCTTCAGGCCGGTTAGAAACTTGGGCGCTTGATTCTGATGCGTAAAGACCAAACGCTCCTCGTCTGTCAGCTGACTCTGTATATCCTCCACGGTGAGCACCGCCGTGCTGCTGGTCTCGCCCATGCAGTTGCGGGCGATGCAGCAGTAGGTGCCTAGGGAATTGGTGCCCGTCAGCTGATAAACGTCGCCGGGCTTCAGCTCGTGTCCGTCCTTGAACCACTTGAGCACTGGCGTGGGAAAGCCAACTACCTTGCACTCAAATGAAACCAAACCCTCCTCAGTCAGCACGGCGCGCAGGCTCTCCATGAATCTGGGCTTGCGATAATTACGAGGAACTGCAAATTATATTCATAAATATATGTATGTATTTAGTTATAATTTCATTTGTCGACTCACTGTCCATGTTGACAACACAAGTTGAAATGCCCACAATGCCCTCGAAGCTGGTGACGACGCATTTCCAGTCGCCGGCATCGCACGATTCCGAGGGCTTGATCTCAATCATATAGACGCCGAGGCCATCTTCGATTAGTTTGTAGCGCTCATCGGTCTCCACACGTCCATCTTTGTTATACCAGGTGACGCTTTTGGGCCAAGGCGGAACCACAACTGCGAAATATGCCAGCAAATAAAAATCAAGTATACGTCATGTTGTTCTACAATAGACAGAGAGAGAGAGAGCGAGAGTGGGAGAGGCAGAGCAAGTGTTATGAAGAGCGTAGCTGACATTCAACTCTCTACCTCTCTCGTTTTCGATCGCACGCTCTCCATCTCTCTCGTTCTCTTTTAGCAATTATCGGTTTTGTTTTGCTCGTCTCGTTTGGCGCATGTTGTTGACCCACCTCAACAACAGTCCAAGCATTCCCAGCGTATTCATTAAGTTCAAGTTTCTAGAGCACGAGAGCACACAGTCTAAAAACAAAACAGATGCCGCTTCAAGCTAACTACATATATCTATATATAGTCTATATGTACAGTAAGGTAGATCGCAACTGTTGTATGTGTGTGAGTGCGTTCGAATAATAAACAAAAAGTGTTTTTGCTTGATTTTTTTTTGTGCTTTTCTTTGTTTTTCGGGCACATTGCCAAGGAGGAGCTAAAATGCCCAACGCTAACGCCAACGCGCTGAGAGCCACTCGCCATTCGCCACTCACCTTGACAGCCGAGTATGATGGTGTCGCCGATATGGACGCTCTGGTCTCGCAGCTCATTCGTGAAGATCGGCGGCGGCGCGCTGCTGCTGACGCTGAGAATAAGAGAAGAACAAACAAATTAAATTCGGTAAGAGAGAGGGAGAGAGAGAGCGAGACTACCCACTTGTCGGCCGGCTTGAGTGAGCCCTCGCGACTGCCACGGCCCACCACATGCACCTTGGAGCTGGAGTAGGTGACGCCCATGCAGTTCTTCGCCTCACACGTATACGTGCCCAGCGACGTGGGATCATCGGCATTGGCGGTGAGCGCGAATATGTCGCCCGCTTTGATCTCCTTGGAGTCCTTGAACCAGCGCAAATGTGGCGTGGGCACGCCCACCACTTTGCACTCCAGCGACACGGTGCCCTGCTCGGTGAGCACCGCTCGCAGCTCCTCGACAAACTCGGGCGTCTTATAGGCCTTGGGCACCAGCACATTCAGTGTGGCCAAACAGGAATTGCGTCCGCCCATATTCTCGGCCATCAACATCCATTGGCCCCCATCCTCGAGCACAACGGGACTCACTTCCAAGTAGTGAAATGTGCCCTCATTCGTCTCGGTGATGCGATCGTTCTCACATATTCTGCGATCGTTTCGATACCACGTTAACTAAATTCGCAATTAGAATACGCTTAAAATGATGGAGAGATGAAGGAATTGGAGAAACTGTTACCTTAAGATCTGTTGAGCTGCGTATTTCTGTTAGGAGGCGAGTTCGTGTTCCCACTTTGACGGAGAGATCGACAAGGCGACGCAGAAATACGGGTGGATCCTCGCCCGTTGATCTGTCCTCGACAATGAGCTCCACATGCCGGCGCGCCACCTCGCTGCCTTTCGTGCGGGCAAACAGGGTATAGTGTCCAGCATCCTCGCGCTGCACATGCTCCACGGCCAGCTGGACGGCATTGCTGGTCTGTGTGATGCGAAAGCGATCGGAGTTCTCGATGGGTATATCGCCACGGGTCCTGAGAAGCATTCACGAATAACATTAGGTATACATTGACATTCCCCATCAATTTGCTAATCAATTGCATTTATATGTATATATATTTCTCATTCTCTCTCTCTTTCTCTCTCTCTCTTTTGTTTACCTTTTTCTGTAGACGGACGAGGCAGAGGCTGTGGAGAGCGTGCCGTGAAATTGTTTGTGTTCGTTGCAGCAACAACGACAACATTTCGAGCATCCGTTGCCCATGGTGTTCGATAAATTCTAATGTTTACTCTAAGTATTTATATTCTATTTACACATAAACCCACATACGCACACACATACATGCATATATCAGTATACATATACATATATGCCAATACACCGACGCTGTTGTAATTGAGTAAAATGTGTAAAAATTCAGTTAGAAATAGAGACGTGATTCTCGTTCTAAAGAGGTAATTAATATTATAATATTATTATATCTATATATGTATATGTATATGCTATATAAAGTTTGTAAACTAGTACAACAAAAATCAGCCTCTTTGGAGTTACCCATTTCGTGATCAAAAGAAGTAACTCTCAGAGAATAAGTTCTGTGAGATGCGCTCAATTTGTATTCGCTTGGCAGCTATATAAATGGGCACCAGTCGTGCGCCTGAAGTCAAAGTGAAGTGAACGAAAGTGCTCTAATTTTATTGTTTTTGTTTATGTGTTTTGTTAATAATACTATTTATTAATCATTTAAATATTTAATTTATTATTTATTATTATTATTTATTATTTATTATTTATTATTTATTATTATTATTTATTATTATTATTATTTATTATTATTATTATTTATTATTATTATTTATTATTTATATTTATTAATCATTTAAATATTTAATATAATTGTATTGTTTTATTTTGTAATTATTGTTATACATTTATTATTTATGCTAATTTTGTGTATTATTTAGTAAATGATGATTCCCTAATTATTCATTTTACTATTTAACATTATATTAATATTTATATTTCCCTTAGCATTAAGACCTAGCTTGTTAGGGCTAACTTGAAGAGAAGAGAAACAACAGAAATATATTGACTGGGCTATACATACATATTTGTCCTATCTCACTCTATATGCGTATACCTACATATACATATGTATATTCTAGCTCACTCTTTATATGTATGTCTACATATGTCTATTTTAAACAATACAATGTGAATCAATGTGAATGATTCAATTAACATATATTAAAATGGAAGTATAAACAAAAATACATAATAATGTTACCCTCAGCAGCTTTCTAACAATATTTAAATAGGAATTCATTCATTAAAATGTAATGCAATAAATCAATAAATAATGATATATAAATATAAAATCATCAAATATATTTAGCTACACATATTTTTCCATACATAAATATATATCATATATATATATTTATTTTTTCTAAAAAATCATTTCCGTTGGTTAGCATTTAATATCTTTAAATACTTTTCTATTGGCCCTCTAGAGATAGATATTAATGAGTTTAGGCACGTGCTTGCATTTTTTGTAGCTGTTCGCCATTAATTTCCATTTGGCATTATTATGATTATTAACAAATAAACAAAACAACAAAGAGCAGAAGAGAAAAAATACCAAAGCCAATTTAGAAATGAAGAAAAATGACGAAAATATTTCAATCGAAAACAAGAATGTTTATAAATAAATGCACCTACTCGACTATATTAATTGTATTTTGTATTCACACACACACACTCGCTCACGCATACAAAGAAAAAGCAGAAAAACACAAAATGAAAATTTGTTTTCTTTTGTTTGTAGAATTTATTTTGGGACACGTATCCCACGGATGCCACGCATTTCATTTTCGAATTTGCTAATAATTCTTTGTTCTCTGTGTCTCGCCAATAGAATTGAGTTAACGTTAACGTTCAGAATCGAGAAATGTTTCGCTTGTTGCTTCTGCCTTTTTGGCAACATTTGTTGTTGTTTGTTGTTTGTTTGGCCCGCGCAGGTATTGCAAAATCTTTTCGAATTGATTATGTAATCGTCGGGCAGCAATTGGCCCAACAACAAATTTGAAGGGAAAATCAATTTTCAACACTTTTTGGGCAATGAAGCACCACGGACGCTACAACACAAAGCTTTACAGCATTTTCAAAATATTTTTCACGCGCTCGCATTTGTTAATGCAGCTAAATTTAGCAGATCGCCACCATTACGAGGGACACACACACAAACACATGCACACACACACACACAATGTGTGTTTTAGGCTTTTGTTCTGGCTGCACTACATTTTTTAGACACATATCTCTTTAATGCACTGTCTCATATGTAGTTTTGATTGATTTCGTATACTTGATCAAGTATACGCAGCGTCGTACACGCACACACGCACACCTACTTATATACACATATACGCAGCTATAGACAAAATTTAAAAAAGAAAAATGCTGCTGGGCAACGGATATGTTAATGCGCCGATCGTCAAAGTGGAACTGGCGAGCAGCCGGCTCTGCTCTGCTCTGCTCTGGCCTGCCATTACCCAAGAGACGAATTGGCCAGAGAACGAACACAGCTGCTGCGACAGTTCAGAGGAAGAGCATCCAGGAGAGGCGACACAGGCAGAGAGTAGCGTGCGTCTTTTTCTTTTGCGACTCTGGGCGCAGTCGCCGTTGACCCGGGCAGCGAGCATCGGACATTGATGCTCATCTGGCATCTCTTGGCAGTTCTTGTTGAGCAAGCGTGAAGGAGAAATCATATGTGTAAGTGCGCAAATTTGTTGGCATTATGCACACAACCGGTGAATCACATGCACACCGAACACACACACACACACACAAATGTTTATTAATTTATTGGATTTGACTTACCATTGAAATGTGAAGGGCAAAAATTCCATTTCATCCTCCTCATCGCAGTCGATTTTGACAAAGAATGTCGCACGTTCGTTGGGTACGCAGCGTATTAGGGAGCTGGAGTTGTCGCTAAACGTTATCCTTGGTTTTCGCAGTGGCACAGTTTTCTGGCCAGGAGGTTCTTGAATGGAAGATCAAAGAAAACATGAGATGTTACTAAAAACAAATTAGTCTATTAGATATGCATGTGTATGTTTTCAATATAATTATGTTCTTTACATCACAAACCCTGTAAATTATTATATATTCTAGTTTCGCAAAGAACAAAAGAAAATACTCAATTCTTCCTTGATCTTGTTTCTTTTCTGCATACATTGGCAAAAAACATTTTGTTTTAATTCAATCTTTTTAAATTACCTCAAATAATAATTTAATGAATATTTACTTTGATTTCCTACTAAACTTTATCAACCAATTTTTGTATTATAAAAATCCAAGTTTTATACTTAATATTTTCATAAGTGTAGATTTAATCCAAATGAATTTAGTTCTAGCTCATGAATCATAGAATTTATTCGCATCGTATATTATACGAACCCACATCATAGTTAAATATATTTATGTATTTATAAATATATATATTCGGTCTTTTCAAAGCCATTTTCTATCTCTAATTCTACAATTTCTTTTATTAAATCAGTCCAACTCTTTGACATTGTTGTTCTAAGTTGAACGAGAAAGTAATCATATAGATATACATGGGTATACGTGTATGTAGTCAGGTATTTCGAAGCATATGTACCGTTTTATATAATTTGAATATTTATAAGGCTTTTCATTGAAGTTATGTATGTACTATATTTAAAAAATTACAATATAAAAATAAATATATATTTTCTGATTTAATTATAGATTTGGTTAGATAAAAAATTACTCGAATTGACAGCCCTGCATAATAATATTAGAGATTGTTATGAACATACTTTGGAGTAAGTGCACTCTAGCCTACTTTCGAGCACATTCCAACTCTAAATATAAACTCTTTTCGAACAACTTCACATGCTAAAACGACATAAATGTACATATATGCATGTAACTACATAAAAATATACATTTCATATTCTTTTGCAAATCGCAATGCGCAAATCTTTGCCGGCAACGGACAACGGGCAACGGGGCAGCCGTTTGCCATTTCGCCGACTGTCTGCAAGATTTGCACTAAAAATAGTTTAAAATATTATTCATACAAAAACTATACTAAAATGCTCGCATGTACAAATATCTATACATATTGCCATCAATATATCTACATATGTATGTATGTGAGTGAAAATGTCTTTAGAAAAATTGAAGCGCAGCTAATTAAACATAATTATTAAAAGCAATTAGAGTGCTTATTTATTTAGCGCACAATTATGAAATAAATTTCGCACAGTTCATTTTAGTTCAATTCAGATCCGTTCAGTTCCACATTACGTAACCGCCGCAGAGCCCAGCAGACGAAGACGCAAACGAAGCGATCATAAATACACATGTATGTGCGTATGTATGTATGTATGTGCACAACACACTTGGTATCTATTGTCTATGCAGAGGCATGAAAAGCCGCCCCGTGTCTGGGTCTTACCTACTACGACGTCGGCAGCGTCTGCTGTTCCCGGTGTTCCTTCCATGTTTTAGCTCTAGCTAGACAGACTAGCTATATAATTAGCCAAAAAACAGGGCCACCTTAACATGGGCCGCACTCACTGGCACAAGCACTTAAACACGCACGCACTCACACACACGCACGCACGCACGCAATCAGTGTGTGTATGTGTGTAACAGGACTTTTCCAACCGAAAACTTTTCACTTGCTGTGCAATTTGTTGTTTGCTTTTAATGCCGCATATACTTAAAAACGATTTGTTTTACTTTTCTTTTCAATTTTTGTTGTTGTATTTTATGTACATATTATTTCTACTTTCCTATATATATTTAGAACGTCGTGCACATATATACATATGTATATTTAAATACATGGAGACAGCGACGTTGTCAAAGATATTTAAGCTTTTCTCTTGGCTAAAAGAATATTCACAAAAATTTATGAAAATTATTATTTGAACACTTAAAGGTTGGCTAAATATTTATCTATAGCCTTTTTGCACTTTTCACATTGAATTTGAAATGCAGCGAACATTTGCTACCACTTCCAATGGGCACGTATACACAGACACGCACACGCACACACACACTCACATAATTGACACATTTGGTGAAGAAAAATGTTGTTTCTATATATAAATAATATATAGAAGTCGTTGTCGAGGGAGCGCGCACATACCACGTCCAGCAGACACCTCCTGGATCTCCGATCGTTTTTCTCAGACTAAACGAACACCGCAGCATCTGCAAAAGTCCATGCCGAATGCTGCGACTGTTTGTTGCTACGGCTGCTGTCGGGAGAATCTCTCGAATCTCTTTTGAGAGCGGACTTTCTTTCGATATATGTATATGTACATATATTTATGTATTTTTATATGCATGGATTTTCGTAAGAGACGAGCGGTGCACCTGAACCAAGAAAAGTGAAAAAGTTTGCGCATGTTTCGTTTGTTTCTCATTGGAAACGTTTATTTTCTTTATACAAAATAAATAGACTCCTCTCCGTTCTCGTGTTTACAAAGTAAAATTCTCTTGTGTTTAATTAAATAGTTAGTTATTAATTAGTAAGTATATTGCATGTTGCTGAAAGGCGACATTACCGTCCGTATTATGTTTGGCTTAAGTAAATATATATTTATGTATGTATCTCTATATATACGCAAACACTTCAAATCGATTGAAATTGATCATTGATTTTGCACTGCAAACATCAACAAGTGGGCAGCGGGACTTGTACATTCAGATTGTTCGTTTAAGCTAAGTAACATGAGCTTGGTTCTTATGGAAGCCACAACTCACACCGAGTAGAAATGCGAGTTGAACTTGTGGCGACAGGAAGGCTCCGTAAAGGGCGAGAACCAGGCTAGCGAGAATCGACCAAATACGGATTGTATGCTCTTGAGGCGGGACTTCTTCGCCCAACGTGCCTCTTCCTTCTTCAGTTGCTCAATGCCCTGCAAAGGTAAATAAACAATTGAAGTACTTAAATTGGGATATTTATAGAGTCATACGCACCGTTTGATCGTTCAGTATAGCATTCAGCTGTGTGGCCAGCATTATAATCGTGAATATGCCAAACATCAGGCCCTCGAACGTGAGAAAGAGCATCAGAAATATCGTTGCCGGTGGAGAGTACGGAGAGCAGGTGCGCCAATCGCTCTTCACGCACTCGGCAAACTGTGTCATCACCAGAAAGAGCGTATGCACCGATATCGATGCTATATAAAACTGTAAAGAGAACACCAACGCACACAGATTATAAATCGTAATCACAGACAAAATAGCACTGCAGCTCACGCACCGTAAAGAGTACAAAATACTTTTGATTGTTCTCGCCAACGCAATTGTTAACCCAGGGACAGTGGTGATCCATCTTACGTATGCAGCGCTGGCAGACAGAGCAATGATGCGCACGATCCGGTTTAATACTGCAGCACTTGGGGCACTTGTAGAACATCTGCCCTTCTCGATAGCCCATCTGCTCAATCATCTCCTTTGTGGCATTTCCCCTAGGTACAGCGCCCTGTAGCACAGTCAACATAAGTAATTGATATAGGGTATAATTTTGATGACTTACCGGATCGGAGAGCATTGTGCGCAAATGGGAAACGAATGCCAGGAATGCCAGCGCTTGGAATATTAACATATTGACGGTACTGAATGCCGTATTGTTGTCATAGTTGGGCAACAGTATCAGGCCACACACCACAAACTCTGCAAACAGTATGAGCAGCCAGGTCATTATCACGCACACAATGCCGCAAATATCCTGCAATCAGATTATTAGTTATGGAATCAAGTGATCAAGGAGTTGCAGCACCTACCTTGACACACCAAGCCCTGTTGCCGAGGCAACGATTGTGCTGATCGACGCCAGCGCCGGTGGACAGCGAGGAATACGAGTAGTGCATTTCGGCGGCAAATGGACGGACACGCACACAATCTGCTTAATGCTGTTGTCAGCCCGCACACACTTTCACTGGGCCACTAAGCAATGACACATCGATTTTCAATTTCTAGATAACGCCACGGCCCCCACGAATTTTATTAACAAACTTGGTAAAGAAAATTCCACTGAACAGCTGTTGCAGCAAAGTGTCGATAAATTGCAAGTGTTGGTCAACGTGTAAATAAAATGCAAAATATACGCAGCATTGTTAGAAGACAAATTACCCTAAAATTTTAGATTTTTACATTTACATTTACATACATATTTAATTGAACTTTAGTTTTTTGTTTAGGTACACTTATATAACATCAAAATCGTTTCAATAAAATCATCCATTTTCAACTTAATAAATATCGTATGTACAAAATATCAAACAGATTATGCCACAAAACATTCACATATTTATACATAAATAAACACATCTGCTGACCGAATTTATGCGGGCGTCAGTTTGGCTGCTGGCTCGAGCAACGCCCAGAGGCCAGCCATTGAAGAAATTGCACCTAAAATGCCAATTGTCCTCGGGGTCAGGCTTGTGTAACCCAAAGCCGTCAGAGGTATAAAGAAATCGCAGACATTCTTCACCGTATCCACAAAGATATCCTTGTGGCCCAGCATCAGGCCATAGGAATTAAGAGCCAATCTCTTGAAGTCTGCCGGTGTGTTGATCCGACTTGGAATCTTGCAGCGTGAGATGCCACTGCTGCAGCTGGCTTTGTGCAGATCCAAGACTCGTACTATCTCGTAAAAGTCTCGGCATAAATTCATAATAATGGAGAACAGCCAATACTTGTTGGCGATCTTTGACCATTTCTTGGGATCGACCGCTGTTAAACCTGTGCGAGCAAGCCAAAGCAAATGATCCGCTAACAGAAACAAAGCCTGTGAAATCTTGCTCATTGTTAGCGTGACCCGAATCGTCAGATCGGGATAATGAATTGCACGTAAGCTAGCATAGAACACATCCAAGCCCTTGCCAAAGCGCAGCACTGCAGGAAAACCATCTTTATAAACATCTTCCAAAAGCAAATTACACAACTTACATTTTCGGAATGTGCTCAAGATATACTCGATTGTCTTGAAGTTGTCTACCAACGCCGGATGACAATTGGAGGACTCCAGTGAGTCCCACATGGCACGCGACGCATACTGGATGAGGCGAGCAATTTTATCCCTGCCGGCTGCCTGATTATTTAGCTGCACCCACTTTTCCATGTTTGTTTTGTTTAACTAAATCAAACTCCGATTGATATAAAGTCCAAGGTGCAATAGTACGAGAAATGCGCTTCGGCGATGCCACAGTTCCAAAATTACAATCGACGAGCTTTGGTCCCTCTCTTGTTTACATTTACATACAAGCCTATCGATTTCATAACGAACGATATCGATAGCAGAGTGATAAGTTTATGCCACGTCTTTTACGTGCACTTAATTTGTATTAAGAAATAGTGAAATAGTTAAATTAAAAATGGCAGTAAGTACTTAAAAGTAGTTGCCCTTTATTATAAATGATTATCCATTTCGAAAATGCAGCCACAACAGAAGGGCAAGCAGGGCACCAAGGGCGCAAAACAAATCGTCGAAGAAAACAAAACAACTTTGGCTTTCTATAGGAACATGGCCATTGGATGCGCCGTACCCGCCGTATTACTCAGTTTTCTGGTCTTCGAAATTACAAAGCTGACAGTGGTAAGCTGAATCGAAATCTTGTCTTCAACAGAAATCATTAATGTATCATACACAATGATTGTAGTTTATGCTGGCATTATCGCTGCTTACCCTGGGAGCCGCTTACCAGTTCATGGCATTCATGTCGCGGGCAAAGTACTCGGAGACCGGCGCACTTTTGGACTCTGGCAATGACTTGAATATGGAAGGTGGCATTGCAGAGTATGTATTAGCTTGACTATCATTTTGCCACCACCTGTTACAACCTATTCCGATTTTTCATTGCAGAAATGTCAAGGATCTGATCATACTCACCTCCGGCACGCTTCTTTTGGCTTTGATCTCCAACTACTTCTGGTTGGTGCTGCTGTTGGCGCCAATACGCGCCATTTGGATGCTCTGGGGCAGTGTTATCCAGCCCTGGCTGTCGCAGCGCAATGCCGCCGAGGAACAGCCCGAGGTGGATGAGAAAAAGCAACGAAAATTGGATCGTAAAATGCGCCGCATGAGATAAAAGCTGTTTGGGTTATCTACTCTCTAGTGAGGCTGCTTAGCAAGTTACATATACTTTTTAAATGAGATTTTACGCTTAGTTAACTTGGTCATTGAGTATAAGCCAAGGGGATAACAAATTGTGTGCAGGTATTCCAAATTTGTTTGTTCTTTTTTTCTTTTCGTATTAAATCGAGACAATATGTCTCTAGTCAAAAGAAAATGCAATTGATTTAGTTTGAGTGAATTTTTGTGCGCTTTAATTATACTGTGCCCGAGTGAACAAAAACTACATATACACATATATAATCTATATATATATATATATATGCCTTTCTCGATCCGTTTATAATTTTTTGAAAAAGGGAAAGCAACGTTTTTGTTAATTCCTAAAAACCTTTCTGAAGGAAATCACAGTTTCGATTTAAACGAAACATTCTCGAATGTTCACACCAGACGCCGTGCTTCATAAATATATATAACATATACTATTTGTATATATATTAAATAGTTAAAAATAAATGTGCATTTTGAGTGCAGGAACTGGTGCAGTTCTAATT